TGCATCGAAATATGAATGAATTGTTTACATTATGTCGACAACTGATTCTTAAACGACTTTCTGGTTACTTATATCTTTAACAAGTTCTTGTTTTACTCTAATGGGAATAATGGGTAGAAAAATTGTGTAATAGGTTTAGATATTTTTCTGTTCCTTCCGAACCCCAATTCGTATAAGATGGCGACTTTCATCATCCGGACGAATTACTCAGGATTGTTCATTCAATATATCTGTTGTAAATAATACTCAGTTTTTTTGTCTGTCCTGAAAATGCGCGCACACTTTACTACCTAAATGCGCATGCACGCGCACTTCATTTCCATGTATATAATTAACAGGCGGACGTGTATATAATTTAGTAGACATTTTGTACAACAACATATCAAAAACTTATCAAAGTTTGTAAAAAGGTCTAACGTTAGGTCCTAGAATAACATTATAAGTTTATCTATTGATAGTATTAATTATGGTAAAGTTTAGTCCTAGCTAAATTAAAGCTGAAAACGTATACAAATTAGTGATAATTTATATATTTATCGAACATAGGGCGTACTTAATAAAAAATTAAATTATGTTAGGTTTAAGACAAGTAGACTTATAGATTTCAGTGACCACAATTAGGATTCTTCTGTATTATTCTAAAAACAGTGTATGTAAATAAGTATTTTTTACAATAAAGATACTTATTTGACCGCAGATATTTTGCGAGTCAGTTTATGTATATTACAACACAGAAGGAATATCACTTGTTCCAAAGTCTCCAAAAGAGTCCCAACTGCATTACTTTCCAAAGCATCTTAAATTATATCGAAATCCAAACATAACTAGCTCCGATTTCACGTTATGGATAAGAATTATAGGTTATGGAAATTTGCCATATTGTTTGCGCATGTTCATGATAAATCTTTACAACGACTTATTTCTTTGGTTATTTAAAAATTTTCTGAAATTTATTCTTAGTACAATAAGAAAGAAAAGGTCTATATTCACCACCTGCTTCAAGAGGAACAAAGATCGAAAACATTAAACAACGTGTCTTATTACGTAAATGCTTTAAATAAGATAATTCTAGAAGAGTACGCACTTCTACCCTTAAATATATCCATAGTAACATACAGTATATCTGACTGTCTTTGTTTTTATTTCGATATTATATTAGCCACGATTGTTATAGTGACAAAAGGCAAAACATGTAACCAATAATCCGAGCATTTTCTGAAAGAGTAGTATTTCTTTCCTGTGGTGTGAATTGGTTATTTTTAACAATGGTTCAATTACACAGTTCTTCATAAAGGTTGTTTTGGTTTTAATAACGGATTTTCCATAATTCAGTTATCCAGATTTCGAAAATAATCGCGTAAGGATTTTTTACAAATCGGGAAAAAAAAAACTCTTACTTAGATCAAATTAATATTTCGTTCACCACAATGATCATTTTTTTATCATTATGTTTGTTAACAAAGAATAGAAACGAACATTGATGTCAAACGAATATGCATCCTTTATTCATCCCGATTTTTTGTGTGAAATCTACGTCTTGTAGTCTCAAAACTATGTGTTGTTGTCTTTCTTTATATATTGGGTCTAGAGCATCTCGTTTCAATGTCCAACAATAATCAACCATCATGCTGATTTTCCACCTTCCCTGATACCTCCTCTCCATTTCCCCGATGTCTTGATGAAACCATTTCTCCTTTTTCTTCGCTGACGGCACGAATATTTACATCTATTTTCTCTTCATCTAATTCATCTCTTCTTCTGGTTATCTATGTTTTCTTCATGTTGTTGCCCGGCATGGCCTGGTGATTAGGGCGCTCGACTAGCAATCTGAGGGTCACGAGTTCGAATCCCCGTCATGGTGGGCGGTGATGACTACCTGCCTCCCCTCTTGTCTTACACTGCTAAATTAGGGATGGCTAGCGCAGATAGCCCTAGTGTAGCTTTGCGCGAAATTCGAAACAAACAAACAATTAATACCATCCACTGTGAGCAGTAATTGTTGAACATTTCAGTCATGCTAAGAGCCACTCAACAATAACATACGGTAAATCTACATTTTTATTCTTTAAATTACGTCACATTTTGAAATGTGAATGATAGTGTGATTAATTCCTAACAGTTTAGTGTAGAAAATCTTGTTTGCCAAATTTTATTATTCATGTTTGTTCTTCCTTCATTTCAAATGTGAATGTTGAGCTTTTCCTGCGTATGTAGCTTTTCAAAAGCAGCGCGAGAAGCGGCCATCGTAATCGGGAGACAGACGGACGCTCGAACAGACACCACGGTTCGCAATATATATAAGACACTAGTATCATTTTCGATAAAAGAAAGGAATCCTTGGGACCCCAGACGTAAGAGTTATGTAAAAAAATTAGAGCGATAATGTTCATCAATTTTGTCTGTACACTTATCTGGAAAAGTTTTATTTGGATGAAAAGTCGTTGAAATAGTGAACTTTTGATTTACTTCACAAACAAACATATTTAGGCGGCTTTATATATGTACAATAAACTTTATCTTTGCTCAGCCAGTACTATGATCCTGTTATTTTTAATTATACAGGTGGTTTTATACGGACAATTTTTATAGCCGCCATTTTGTTTCATCACGATCCCTACTATTAAGTATTACCATACTTAATGATACACTATTCGAATTCTTGAAAGTCCCTAAGGGACTATATTAAAAATTTTGTATTTAAAAATATAATAGGCCTAATACCAATATCTTTTAACAAGTATAATTAAAATTAAAACCTGTTATTGAACATTGTTTAAAATAAAACAATGGTCACTTGAAATAGTACTTATAAAATTATTTCCTTAGTTATAATGCAACGTTTAATCATATTTTAATTTCTAATTATTTTTATCTTAAAAAACAAATAACATTTATTTTAATTACGTTTATTGAATAACTGGTGAATCTCCACTTATTAAAATCATTATTAAACAATGACTGTGTGTTTCCAATTGTCAAAGTTAGCATTCACCAAAGATTGTGTGTTTTCAACGCATTTTACTGAGACAAACTAATATGATTTATTATTCAAGAAATCTGTATAGATTTATTAATGGCTCCTGAGATATTGTAATGAAATTATACATTACAGATTATATGGTTAATATCTTTGTAGTGAGACAGTCCTGGAGAAATAGATTTTGTCTATTGCAGTGCGGATTTCCTCCGGAAAGTACCGACAGTTGGGTATATATATATATGTAAGTGGACTGAAAATGTCAGTAACAATTCTCGAGGTAATAAAGTCTAATGAGGCTAAACTTATATGCTTTTAAGTTCAGTGTTTTGTAATCCTTTTTTGCCTAATCTTTCTAGCATGCATTCTTGCTAGAGGTTTTTGAAGTTCCTTGGTGTATTTCTAGCTTGAATGGCATTTTATGTGTACGAAGTATAAGCGACCAAGACAGAGACCCCTAGGATTCAGATATAGACGTTCTTAGTATTGAATTAATGAACAGAGGAAAACAACGCCCGCCGCCACAAGGTATTTCTCCCATTCTTTGAGCCGAATCATGGGATTGTTTCTTTCTTTTATTTCAAATCCACAGCTGAAAGTGTGGAGTATGATTAGCGGTACCATGTCTTGAACCTTGGACCTATGGATGCGCAACTCGGCACGTCAGCTATTAGGTTAAGCCAAACCTGTCTTTCTATAAAGTAAAAAAATCTTTGTATTTCTAGATAACCGTTTATCTACAATAAACCTGTCTTTCTATAAAGAAAAAAAATATTCTTTGTATTTCTAGATTATCGTTTACCTACAATAAACCTGTCTTTCTATAAAAAAATTTATTTGTATTTCTAGATAATCGTTTATCTGCAATAAACCTGTTTTTCTATAAAGAAAAAAATTCTTTGTATTTCTAGATAATCGTTTATCTACAATAAACCTGTCTTTCTATAAAGAAAAAAATATTCTTTGTATTTCTAGATAACCGTTTATCTACAATAAACCTGTCTTTCTATAAGAAAAATATTTGTATTTCTAGATAATCGTTTATCTACAATAAACCTGTCTTTCTATAAAGAAAAAAATTCTTTGTATTTCTAGACAATCGTTTATCTACAATAAACCTGTCTTTCTATAAAGAAAAAAATTATTTGTATTTCTAGATAATCGTTTATCTATAATATGCTTCAGAACAATTCAATTCGAAAGTTTCATATCAGATAATCTCAAAACAAGAAAAAATTGTGGTTAAGAAGATTTAATAAGCCGTCGATATACACGGATGTAAATATTAACAGTAGAAAAAAACAAACCAAGAGTGTTCCTTTGAATCCAACTACTTACAAGTACATATATATGATGTTTATTTGAAGAAACCTCTTAAAAACACATTCCGCCATGCATATCCCGAAAACGATATTCACATTACTAATTGTTATTATTATGACTGGATCTTACGAAAAGGCAACATAATCTAACTAGGCCTATCGGTAAGCAAACATGTTTAAGGAACGAAAAGGAAACATAATCTAACTAGGCCTATCGGTGAGCAAACATGTTTAAGGAACAAAAAGGAAACATAATTTAACTAGGCCTATCGGTGAGCAAACATGTTTAAGGAAATGATTTAGTATAGTAAAACACATTTATTATTCTACTAAAGCAAACACTGAAGCTCGGTTTGATGCAGGCCCGGGGGCAGCACGTGCGCTATGAGGGCATCCACTTATTTATGGGGAGAGAAGGTAACCAAAATCACCGCTATTACATCTAACTGTATATTGATTAAAAAGTCATGTGGCAGCGCCGTATTATAGAACATTCTAAGTCCCTCTTCCCACTCCACTGGTGGGATGAATATCTGATAAAACAATAGAAGTTGCGAATAAAGCGCCGGAGATATTAAGTCCCGGATCTATACTGGGTGAATTTCCTTGAGATAAGAATCTGGGATTCATTTCCTTAACCAAGCTCCTTATCAAATTGCATATTCACTGAAATATCAGGTTTCGGAAAACGTTCTCAAAATCAAATAACACGAATTGAATTTTTCTGCAAATCGCTGAACCGGGTATTTAGCTGCGCATGAAAAACTTTGTTCGGCACTTCTCAGGATTGTCGAAACAGCTATTCTACGTGTCTTGACGTCTGCGCATTCGATGTAAGCGCTAGAAAAGTGATCGATGGTTAACAGTGCAATAATAGTAGCGGTTGATCTAGCAGACTCGCTAGTCTGACGGGTTGCAGACGGCAAGTGAACAGACGTTGTCCTTGCGTAAAGTAATTATGAAGCCAAGTTTCGAACTTGATGACAATTCTATTTATGTTCGTAAAGAATCGCGTCTATACTTAGAAACGTAGCTTTAATAAATTTATTTCAAATTAGTTTTTATTTTTTACGTGTGGGGGAAAATATTTAATAATTATCAATTTAGATCGACAGAATGATATCGAAGGCCTGTGTTGAATAACCTAATATTAGGACTTTCTGTGCAAGAACGTTTAAATAACGAAGTGAAATGTTAATGGAAGTTCCAATTAGATTAGGCTTAGCGTTCAGGAATTCTTCACTAGCTCGTGGCACTACTTTTGAATAAGCTGTTTTTGACAGGCAAGGAACACAGATAGACAAATTTATTTCAAAGGAACGTCTCGCTTGGCTGGAATCCATAGCACACTAGTTGGAAGGAGGATGTAACCAACTACAATGTGGCTAGTGGGTGGAATTGTTACTGTATTTGCCCTTCTTTTAGGTAAGAATTACTAAGTTTTTATGAAGTGCTAATATGAGTGTTAAGATCTTTCTAGAACATTGATTGCATATTAAATATTATAATTAAAATATCTACTTGACACATTTTGATTTAGTGGGTAGGGTTATCATTGTTATGACGTGAAAAATATACGACAGTTTTATTTGTTTAATGTAACAAGTCACGGAAATATAGTTAAAAATTAAATCCAATAATAATAATTTGTAAATTCTAATAATGTTTTCTTATATTTGTATCACGTATAAAACATATAAGAACGTTCCCTATTTTTTACATGTCGAGGAATACAAATGTATTTTCATTGAAACGTTATAGAGGTCCATAGTCCACCAAGGCACTTGTAAGTGTTCTGAATACATTTACGAACCCTATTCTGTATATATTTTGACTTCATTTATGAAAGATTAAAGAGATGGATAGCCTTTCTTCTCAAAATGACTGGTTATTAAATACTGGCTTTATTAACTCTGTTTTGTATATTACTTTATTGCAAAAACTGTTTTAATCACAAGATTTTGGAGCAAATATCTTTGTGTTACTCTATTAACATTATCATTTAAACATAAAACGTGAAAAGTCGATACACTATGTCTTGCTTAATGAAAATACCGAGATTGGACGCTAGAGGGCGCAACATGAAGCTGTTAAACATATTTAAATCAAAAATACAGATGGCGCAATATGCGTATTTAATGGCCTTTAATTTCGTATGCAAAATAATTTTTTCTACTCAGTGTCTGAAACTGAAGTAGATTTCTTTCGCACGAAACCTTATAACTTTTGTATAGAACTTACTCAACCAAACCTAGTGATAGTCTTAGAACATATATAGAACTTACTCAACCAAACGTAGTAATATTCTTAGAACATATATATATAGGATACTCAACCAAACCTAGTGATAGTCTTAGAACATATATAGAACTTACTCAACCAAATGTAGTAATAGTCTTAAAACATATATAGAACTTAGTTAACAAAACCTAGTGATAGTCTTAGAACATATATAGAACTTACTCAACCAAACCTTGTAATATTCTTAGAACATATACAGAACTTAGTCAACCAAACCTTGTAATATTCATAGAACATACAAAGAACTTAGTCAACAAAACCTAGTAATAGTCTTAGTACAGTTAGGAGTTTTAGAAGATTGCGAGCGCTTGAAAGCATATTTGAAAATTTTGTGTTTAAAATTCACACACGTTCTTGTCGAGTCCAAAGAAACATTTATTAAAATATATTCTTCATACCAGTACTTGTATAAAGTTTAAACACGTATGAAAGTATGATACAACTATATTTGTGGGGGTGTGTGACAAATATTTCTATAACATTTACGAGTTCATTTATTGAAAGTAGATGAAACTTTTCAGTGCCCGCCATTACCTGGAAATGAGTGAAATAAGAACGCACGAAAAAATATACTTGAAATATAGTAAAAAATCAACATTAAAACTGGCTAACTGAATATTTAAAAAATAATTTAAACATTTAATCTGATGGCCCGTTATGACAAGGTGGTTATGGAGCTCGACTCACAATCTGCGGGTCGCGGGTTCGAATCCCAGTCCCACCAAACATGCTCGCCGTGGGGGCGTTATAATGTGACGGTCAATCCCACTATTCGTTGGTAAAAGAGTAGCCCAAGAGTTGGCGGTGGGTGGTAATGACTAGCTGCCTTCCCTCTAGTCGTGCATTGTTAAATTAGATAGCCCTCGTGTAGCTTTGCGCGAAATTCAAAACAAACAAACTTAATCTGATCTTCATTCCCAACCTTGTCTTTCAAAGGTCACTCACTGGACAACAACATGATCAGATATTCTTGTGTTACAACTTACAATCAGTTTCGTTGGTCAACACCTGATCACTTCGTTAATGTTATTTTTATTTCCATTCTGTTGTTACTAGATCAGATAATAGCTAAATATATTTTAAAACAGTCGTTTAGAATTATATAACAAAAAAATATTTTAGTGTCCAAGTTAATTCTATTTTTATTATTAAAATTTTTGGGAAAAAATATCGCTAAATAGAAAAGCTATGGAGGACTGGCTATTGAACTCGAAAAAGGAATCAAGCAAAATGAACTTTACGTGTAGAATAAAATCCCTACATTGCTGTTTTCCCCACTTTGTCTATCAAAAGCTTGGTGTTTGAATAGAATATCAGCTTTTATTATTATAACTTTCCTTTAGTTAACTTTAAAATACACCTTTTATGACTATTTTACAATAGAGTAATATTTTAAGATTGTAAATTCTAGTTTTGCCAGCAAGGAAGCCAGTAATTTGTTTATAATTTTATAAGATGGCGTACGTGGGTTATTAGGTTATAGAATGTATACTAAAGCTTTATAAAGTATACATATAGTAAGATAGGTAGTCAAAGATCGTGAAGATTGTTTTGTTCTATCAAATGATGATAAAATTATAGTTACTGTTAGAACTAGGTGGATGCTAGGCCTGTTGAAGAAAGATGATGATGAACGAAAATAAGAGTTTTCAGTTTTGGATATTCGCCGGTTTTCGACTTCGAGATGCTCTGGGCACCTGCAAAGCGGCATACACACCGGAGATATAGCGACAATGGTGGGTAGATCTCCATATCTAGCTTCTCATGATCTGTAGAGAAGAAAATCCAGATGACTTTAGTATTGCTTTAATACGGGCGCCCGTGCCATCCCTACGTAGCGCGCACTCTGATCTCAAAACAGTTAAAGCCGTTGATAGGAGAAATTTATTCTTATACTAATTATGCTTGGAGACTGCTTGAATGGGTAAGAAGAAATTATTTAATGTAAGTTAAACGTAACAGCAAATGTACAACGTTTCGACAAGGTTTTGTCATCATCAGGTACAGGCATTATTAGTCTCAATATGGGTTCCTCGTCATCTAATTCTTAAACTAACATTTTCACTAAAAGACCCTCATCGATCGAAAAGTTGACCAAATAAATTTTCTCTTTCGGTGATTTTAATTCTTTCTTGGTATTTTTCAAACTTTATTACACTGTAATTACGTAAGTTTCTTAATCGTAACCTACGTAAGTCGAGATTTATTTTATATATATTAAAAAATGAAAAAAAAAAGATCAAAGTTTTAATTTTTGTGATGAAACTGCCCTTAAAAAACCAAATCATCCACTTCTTAAAAAAACTTAGTTTCAACATCTACTTGGTAAATAATTGGCAGAACTACAAATAGTGAGCTGGTGGTTAGGATGCGCGACTCGTAATCTAAGGGTCGCGAGTTCAAGCCCGTCACCGAACATGCTCGCCCTTTCGGCCGTTGGTGATGGTGAATCCCATGTTTAGTTAGTAAATAGTAGCCCTAGAACTGGCGGTGTTAACTAACTGCCTTCTCTATAGTTTATCATTTCTAAATTAGAGATGGATAATGAAATAAAAACACAGGAAGAAAGGAAACTAATCTGAGAAGTTAAATTATAACTACTTGCTTTTAAAGAAAGTTGAATTGAAATATGTTCATGAAATAGCAACAGACAAATCAGTTAAAGATTTGGCGCATTAGGGTAGCTATAGAAGTAGTTAGATAATGGAGACGCTTGACTGGTACATTGAGACCTCTATGGATCATGAGGGGACCATAGAATTCCGCAGCGGAGCGTATTTTATGCTAGTATATAAAATGGGGGGTTTGTAAGATAACTGAACCTCAGCATTCGATAAAAAAGAAAGTCTTATTTTGGTATACAAATATAATGGGGGATAATAGCAAAAAAATTCATAACTAATGTGAACCCTATAACCCTCAGCATCTATTAAACATAAATGTAATAAGTTAACTAAGCCTCTTACTCAGGATTCAATATTTTCCAAAGTGTTTTAAGATAACTCATTTCCATGTCAATAATTTCAGTTCTATTACAACAGACATTGATAAAACATTTGTTTGTTAATTTTAGAGCTATTGTTACATATCTACATAAATATAATTTGTTTGCGAACATACAACGCTAGAAACCGGGATTCGATACCGGTATTGGGCAGGGCCCCTTTGCCCGTGTGTGGGTATTTCAAATTATTGCAAGATAATACACTCATTTTTATTTGTTAATGTTATTGGTCATACATACTTCTTAAATTAAACGTTGCATATGATTGGTTAGCATTTTTATATTAATTTTGACTTTTACCAATGACATAAACATTCTTAAATGGTAACAGTTTGTTTTGTTGAATTTCTCGCAAAGCTACTCGAGGGCTGTTTGCCTTTACCTTATAAGAGATAAATTAGAGCGAAGCAGTGCTATCTATCTTTATTTTATTAGTGATAGACTAGAGCGAAGCAGTGCTATCCATCTTTACCTTATAAGAGATAAATTAGAGCGAAGCAGTGCTATCTATCTTTATTTTATTAGTGATAGACTAGAGCGAAGCAGTGCTATCCATCTTTACCTTATAAGAGATAAATTAGAGCGAAGCAGTGCTATCTATCTTTATTT